TTTCCAAGTTTAACGTCAGAGCTTGTTACATGACAGAAAATAAATTGAACAAGGTGCGAAATTTTTAAGCCTATAAAACAGACAATTACTCTGAACCTTGACCTGGTTTACCGCGATATTACGTGTCTAAATAAGCCAAAATTGAACTGTTGTGTAGTTTCTTCAAAAACCCTCTTGAACAACTTGATTCCCTTCGAAATAAATTTAGCTTTTAAATTCTCCCAAAACCTAAAGAATTCAACATGAATACCAACTAACATTTGATCCGATAATCCCTAAAAGAAACCGAAATTGCGCCAAGTGAAACATCCATCGTGCGTTTATCTCCCCGATATCTCAATGGATCTCGTTTCAGATGGCGGATTTAGATTTCCCTCGAATTTGTTCGATCTTAATTTTTTACCATCTTGTAAATAATGCGTCGAGCTAAATTAACTTCTTTTTTCCCAGAGAAAGTTTTAATTAGATGGTGCCTTTTTCCCTTAACAGCACTTACCAACTTTTTACACAACTTACAATAAAATTATCCGAAATTAGTTGAAAGTAAAGGATAAGAATTAAACTGATTTTAAAAGTAATTATTTTTGATTTTATGGCCCTTTTGTAGCTCCATCACGCCCTTCACTTCGTACCAAAATTAATTAGTGTTGTTAGCAAACAAATATGTAATTCCAAAGTTATTTTTTTCGACAATTTAACAATCTAAGCATTTTTTATCTCTATCAAAAATAAATAATTTTTTAGCCATTATAAACTTTTTTCAAATTAGGGTATTATCAAAAACGTTACATTTTTTGATGTCAGAATAAACAACAAAATAAAAATGTATAATATTTTTTTGACTTTATTACAGCATTCGAACAATAGTAAAAATAGTAAATTAAGATATTTTTCCAGGCGTACTATTATTTTTACAAATAATTTAATTATTTGAAGAGATTTAAGAAATACATTTCAAGACTCAAAGCCTTGAAAACAAAGTTTCAAATTACTCTATATTTTGTATACGAAACATTTTGTTAATTTTTTTTAAAGACAGTCATCAAAAATAGTTTCAAATTTATTATTAATGCAAAATTGTAAGAGAAATTGAAAATTTATTGGTTAAAGTTCTAGCCAAAACCAAAAATAAGGAAAATGCTCTTAAATTTTTTTGTTACCTTGATTACATATTCAATTTTTTTTTCAGCGCTTCAAAAACAGTTTTGTAATAATTAAAGAAAGTTTGCAAAGACAGGAAGACAAACAAAAATAATTTAAGCTAAGCAGCAGTTGCCAAATATTTGCACAATTTTTAATAAAATGTCCGAAATTAATTGAAAGTGAGGGTTAAAAATTAAACCGATTTTAAAAGATAAATTTTTGTTCTATGGCCTTCATAACCCGCTTTATACTACCAAACTAAACAAATAAATTAACAAATAAATAAATTAACAAATAAATAAATTAACAAATAAATATAAAGTGATTGAAAAGTTATTATTTCAACACTTTTAAGCATATTTTTAGGCATTAGATCAAATTGTAACAGCAACAACAATAATAACAATAAGTAACAAGTAACAGAAAATTTAATTTTTTTTGAAAAATTTATAATAAATTAATTTGACTTTTTAACAGCTTTCGTCAAATAGTAAAATTGGTAATTTTTAACACTCGACTTTTTTTAATCAATATTTTTTCCACGAACTATTATTTATTATATTTTCGATAATAATCGTTTTAAAAAATAAATTCATATTTAAAAAGATTTAAGAAATTAATATTAAGATCCAAAATGAACTCATCTTTAAAAAGAAGTACAAGTACAAGTACAAGTTCCAAATTAGTCTTTATATTGTATATGAGAAACATTTTTTTAGTTCTTTTTTACAGGGAGACAACTCATTTCATGCAAAATTTAAAAAAAAAATCTAAAATATTTTAACTGGTCCAAATTCATTAAATTCTAGCTAAAACCAAAAATAAAAAAAAATGCTCGAAACATTGATTAGGTTACACATTTAAAAATTTCATGGATATTGTTTTCGAAGCTTCAAAAACAATTCTGCATTATTAAATAAACATCGCAAAAACAGAAAAATGTATAAGCAGCAGTTGCCAAATTTTTGCACAACTTTTAATAAAATTGTCAGAAATTAGCTGAGCGTGAATTATTAGAATAAAACCAATTTTGGAAGTGGTTATTGGTGATTTTATGGCTTTCTTGCGGCTCGATAGCGCGCCTCATTTCGCCCCAGACTAATCTAATTTTATAGTTATTTCAAGTAATTAAATTAGGCATAATTTAGTCAAAAAATCGAGACGAAAGCTTGTCAATATAGTTTGCATTTTGAGATTCCAGTTTTCATCAGCGGTAATGCCAGGTTATTAAATAGTCGTACACAATAGCCAGATTTAATACAATTCTCTGATTATCCTGTTAAAAACCCTCGACACTGACTGCTCGCAAATTTATCGTCAGGATAATTATAACATTGTTGTGAAATTCAAAATACTCGCGATTTCATTTATTTAAATCCAGAGAGATTTGACCGAATCGATAGCGCATTATTGTGTAGTAAATTCCTCTTTCTAAATTAACAATTTCGGACAGTTATGGATTTTTGCTTCGTGCAAAGTTAATTTTCCAGAAATTATAAATTAAATGCTAGCATGTTTACTGATATTAAAAGATAAATATAAAGTTGATGAGCAAAGCTCCAATTTTCGAGATTTAATTTCGGAGAAATGGAGTAAATAAAGGCGATGGTGGATATTTTTAATTCAGGAAAGTTGTATTAGTTGCATTAAAAATAATTCCAAACTCGTTAAAAATTTTGGTTTTATTGTGAAAGTTGATGAATAGAAATTTTCCCAACGCTGTTGTAAGAAAGCTGAGGAAAAGAATTTTCATATCGGAAACTTCCAATTACCCTCATCCAATTATCTTCCAGTACTCAAATGTGGCTGGATTTTCCCTTTAAGCTCCAATTATATCCCATTTGCCTGCGATAAATTGGCCCATGATGACTGTAGCAATGTTCAGTGCAAATCTTACAATTTGTTATCCGGTTTGCGGAATGGTGCATGAAAACCATAAATAACTCCCGAAACAAGTGTCACGAATTGTGGATTTCACGTCCAATCCAACGCACTTTCTGACTGAAAATTTCTCTGATTCAAAGCTTAACCCAGGAAAGAAGAGAAAACAAGTATTTTTAATCAACTTTCTGCTCCACAAAAACACCAGAGTTTAAATACGATTTATTTTAATCTAAATATTTACATATCAAAAAAATTAACACAATTTTTAACGGACTATAAAAATGTTTATGTGATTTTTGACTAGAACATTGTTAAAGTTCATGCAACTTTGCAAATTCGACAAAAGTTCTTGCAATTTTCACACTTTATTGCTTAGACCCGACAACGATATTAACAATAAAAAATTGTAATAACAGTAACAATTACCGTGCTCAAACACCGGTGCTAATCTTACACGTCATTTAAATAAAAATTAGGGAAGTAATAACGTTTTTACGGTAAATAAAGCCTTTCTGGTACAGGAAATGAGGGGCTTTCACAGATAATAAAAAAGATGATTTGTTACTAAAAAATTTATTTGAGTTGTGTGTGTTGATGCTCGAGGGAAAATGTGGGTATTTGAGGCAAAAAACTGCTGAACACAACAATTAACTAATATTTTCGTCTGCATACAGGGTGTTAAAAAAAGATTGTAAAATATTTTAGGAGGTAACAGTATGGGCCAAAACAAACGAAAAAGTCTTAATAGACATGGGTTCGTAAAGTAACGGTTTCAGATTGAGAAAAAATTTAAATAAGCAATTTAAAGAACAAAAAAATGAAAACGAGAAAATCAAATAAAAAACTGATGTGAAAAAAAAAAACAAAACAAAAATGAAGATGATGACGGAAAGAAGATTTAATTGACAGTTTCTTAGATTTTATTTCTTTTTGGTCATACCGAATGTTGTAAAGCCCTTATGCTTTTATACTTTTTTTAATATTCTTACGTTTTTAAGTTTTTGGAAATTTGGTCCGGTATTTTTTGTATTTTATTCTTTTATTACAATGTAAAACAAAACAAATAGTTGTTTTTGTGTAATTTTGACACCAAAATAATCTGATTTGAGTCTACTTGAAATCTTTTGTTTAGTGTTTTACGTACTTCTCGACCTATGATTAGGACCATTATTGTTATTATTATTATTTTAAAAAACGAAAAATTCGTGGTTTGTTTAATTTTAACACCAACAAGAACAGATTTACGTCCACTTGAAAGGTTTTAGGTATTTTGGCCTATTGTAACTCTCTTGATTATTATTAAGGACTAATGTTTTTAAATAAAAAAAAAACGTGGTTTTATTTGATTTGCCACCGACTTGACCAATTTTGAGTCTACTTGAAATGTTGGAATAAATAAAAACTTGAAAACTTAATCTGAAGAAAATGAGAAGAATTATTTTAATTAAAATGAGAAATAAAGAAGTAAAATTTTAGAATAGTATATGGATGTAAAATCAATCATAAAACAAATCCGGCAACACAAAAAATAAAGAAAAGAAAACTTATTGTTTATCTAAGAAAAAGAAATAGTGGTTGAAACAAAAATTGAAACAGTAATTTAACAATTAAGAAAAAATATAACAAAAAAATTAGTGAACAAAAAATAAAAACAATAGAAGAAAAAAAAAACATAAAACAAGAAAATCAGATAAAAAACTACGAATGTCGAAAAAAACGGAAGAAGGTGAAGATAATATAAAAGATAAGTAAAGAAATTCGGAAGGTCTACTTGACAATTAAAATTTTTTGTTTTGTTTTACACGTTTAGTTTATATTGTAAAGCTCTTATGCTATTTTTGTTACATATTTTTAATGTTTTTAGAATTACTGTGTGATGTTTAATATGTATTTTTTGTATCATAATTTTCATTACGATGTAAAACAAGACAGAAATGAAAATGAAAAAAGTTTTAATAAACATTAGTCCGCAAAGTAACGGTTAAAAGATTTATTTGCAATCTGTTCTAAGAAAAAAGAGAAGCTTCTAGTAAAACATTTTGTTTGTTAAAAGGCTTTTTTGTTTATTTTGGTCATACTATTACCTCCTTAAATATTTGACAATCTTTATCACACCTTGTATTTTTAGCTAATAAAAAATAAAAATTGTCGCAAAAGTTTGCGATTTTATTTTGAACTCCTCTCCACTAAAATCCTCGTGAAAAATGCAAGAACTTTCATTCTCCACCCCTTAGTCCACTCTAATACCCCGGAAGAACCTCCCCATTATCCTGATTATCACTACCACTCTCCGAGCGTCCGAACCACTGATATGATTAGTTAATCTGCGTCGTGTTCATGTTGGTAATAAAGTGCGGATGCCCCCCATGCCCCGCTTCGCCACTCTGGATCGAGAAATGCCTATAGGAGATATACTCCGGCGGAATGGGCTGATCCCTCTTGATGGCCTGTCTCTGCTTCTTTACCTTGAGGTACCCCAGCACCGAGACAAGGACAATGAACACCACGAACCCCATGCAGCACCCGATGATGAGCCCCAATCGCCGCGTGAGGATGGACTGGACGCCGTGTTCGGCGCCCCCGAGCCCCACGTGGACGCTGTCGGGGGCCAAGAGTGTGCTCACCTCGGCACACTTGCTGGTTGGGGAGTCGACGAGGAGCGGCAGCATGGAGTCGCTGAAGACTTCCAGTTGGTGAGAGGAGTTGTCAGGGCGGCGGGCCAAACGCGATTCCGCCGTTTCGCGACGGTGGGCCCAGTTGCCGAGGGCTAGGACGCAGATGAGGTAGCGAGTGCCGGGGTAGAGCTTCGAGAGCTTCATCGAGCGGGAGGAGCGGTCCAGGAGGCGGCCGCGGATCTGGAACGGAGTGCTGTGAAAGCTAGGGTAAAAGGCGAAACGTAATTTAATAACAGAGCTTTCAGATAAATTGTCTTATTTTGCGGTGTTGGCGCTAAAATGTTACCTTCCGATAATGGAAACTAATAAAAAAAAGTGTTTTCATTATGAAAATATTTGTCCTAGGAGTTAAAGCCAACAATTTTATTTTCAACAAAAAATTTATCAATACTTGATTGTTTGATGATTTTTATAGGTTTTGCGATATCGTTCAAAGTTTACAAAGCTTTTATAAAATAGTTTGAATAATGCAATTAATATACTTTTGTTCCTCATTTTCAATAACGAGAATTCAAACTTTGTCAGTTTTTGTCAATGTTGATAATATTTTGATTTTAGTTTTAGGCAATTTTAAGTTTTGTTGACTCTGAAATTAGTTGAAAAAATTTGTGGAATTCAAGCGAAATTGCTTGGAATTATTTGTAAATTACTGGATTTTTTTTAGAGTCATCCTATTTAAAATCCGAATTATTTTAAAATTTATTTTGGAATCACAAAAATTAACTTGGAATTACAGGAATTAATTTGTAATTATAGGAATTAATCTTAAAACCACGGAATTACGATAGATTATTGAAATGATTGAACTTTCGGTGGAATTTTATTAGAATTCATATTAGTTACACACATTTTTTCAAGTTAATGGCCCCTCGTTCCAAATAAACGTATTTCAAATTAAAGTTCTCAAAATTTTATAAAATTCGTGTTTATTTTTACATTTTTTTAGTTTTTTTTTTCAAATTCAGTTTTACAGTAATTTTTGAAAAAAAAACTAATTGTTTTTCTAATTCAGTCATTTAAAAAAATATATATAATATGCTTAGTGCAGGGAGTTTCAGAATTAACCTGTCTTACGAAGGTTGTGCTAAAACCTGACTTTTTAAATATTTCTAACATAAAAACTTGCTTTGTAGGTACAGTCAATAAACTTGCCAGTTTGTTTTATATTTCCTATAAAAGTTATTTTGTTAATAAAGATCTTTTGAGTATGAGAATTAGATAATGAAGATAAAAATAAAACTGCTTTACCCGGTACACCTACATTTTAAGTTTTTGTATTTTATTAGTCATTTTTCTCTTTTTAAATTTTTTAAATAGTGAAATATGACTCAAAACATCTTTTTATTAATATCAAAATAATTTTTTTGTACTTAAATTTTAGTTTTTGTGAAATATTTTTTTACACAAATATAAAATCGTAAAAATTTCTTATTGGTATTAAAATCTTTGGAAATTCTAAATATTCGTACGATTTTCATTGATTTTCTGTAATATTTTAGACAATTTTAAGCTTTGAATTTAACTGTTAATGATGAAAATTAATTACTTACTTAATTTAAAAAATATGTAAATATGTATACAAGCTCTTAACTTAATTTTAAAGCATACTATGTTTATATTTAAATCTTTTTTTTTCTTTTACAAGAGTCGTTTCACCTATCCGGGGGAACTGTAAAATAAAACAATATGTAATATATATAACATAATGTAATTTGCAATCACACTCAAATTGTTAGAGAAAAAAGTACAAATTGATCCAACATACTCCTAATAACTCTCTCGTATGCTACAATAAAGGAACAAATTGTATTAGCGTTTTTACGACGACCACAACCAACTGCTAATAAAAATGATGTTAATAATATTAATAAAACGAGTTTCGCTTTACATGGCTTTAAATTTATCCAAAACTCTGTTTTACCGACACTTTTTTATCTTTTGACATAATAATCTCTCGCCTCGGGATCCAGTATCACAATTCTTAAATTTTTCAACATCGTGTTATCCCAAACAAAACAAATTTCCACCGAGTTAAACACATCATTAATGTTGAAAATGTACGACAATTTGCGAATTTGCAATGCACAACTAGGCAAATAATTAAAATGATATTTCCATACACAAGCGAATCTGATTATTTCACACAAGTGACCTGAATGTTAACCATTTATTATTCCTGTGAGAATATGCATCTGCATACATCAAGAATCTAAACAATGTTTGAATCCAGCGTAAGATAATAACAAAACTATTTGCACAATCAGCGCCGGGAAAAAATTTTAATCGACTTGTCAAGTCAAGAATTTCCAATTTAGAGAATTAGTTTTTGTTTAGAACGCTCCAAAGGGTGATTTTAATTAAAAGTTGACATTTTGTACCTCATCTACCATGTCGATCGAGTAGTAAACGACTTGATATCCGTGTAATCCGGAATGATTTCGACTCTGCCACGACACCAGCACTGAAAACGGTTGTATGTCTTGTATGCCAAGTTTGACAACTAACGGTTGATCGCAAAATTGCTCCGGATCCAACTCTAAGAAAACTCTTCCTCTCAATTCAGGGGGATGTTCGCAACGTAATTCCAACGTATTTGTCCTCTCGACAAGTTTTTGGTGATCCCTGAGCCACTCCCACAACTCCTGTGAGTCACAGCTACACGAAAGCGGATTCTCTGAAATAAAGAAAAAAATCGAGCCGAGTAACACAAGTTACGAGTTTACCTTCCGTCCTTAAACTTCTTATTTGTGTTTCAAGCGGTCTGAAAGCATTCAAAGGAATATTTTCAAGATAGTTCCTACTCAAATCCAAAGTTCGCAATTTTTTCAACGGCCTGAAAGCCTCATTAGACACCGACGTGATCCAATTCCCGTACAAAAACAACTCGGCTAAATTTTCCAAATGTTGAAACGTCACTTTACTTATCCTGCCGATCTGATTGAACGAAATATCCAACACTTGCAACGACCTCAAATCTGTCGGAAACTCCTCAAGCTCCTTGAGTCTATTATGGGTCAAATTGAGGATCCTCAAATGGTTTAAACCTTGCAGACGCTCCTGAGGCAACAATTCCAACTCGTTGACCCCCAAATCGAGGGTCAACAAATGGGGCAAACTCCCAAAAGCGCCCGGGGAAATCCGCAAAATCCGGTTAAAACCCAAATACACATGCAACAAATCGGGAAAATTCTCGAAATCTTTACTCGTTACAATGGTAAGGTTGGTATGACTGATGTGGATTTCCTCGAGGGAAGGGTAGCGGTGAGACGATGCAATGTCGTGGATGCGAACCAGAGGATTTCCGGTTAGATTTAACCAAGCCAAACCGGGGAGGGTGTTCTCGGAGAGAGCCGAGTTTGGAATCTGTCGAAATCGGTTATTTGATAAGTCCATCCGACGCATTAGAGGCGAATGGTGGAAGAAGTTGGCAGGCAAGGCCGATAAAGAATTACCACTCAAGTCCACACTAAGGACTTGAGTCAGATTCGAGGATGCAAAACCCGACAGTGAGGAGATTTGGTTATTCCTCAAATCTAACTCTTTCAAATTTGGCAAACCGTTTAGTCGCGAGATATCCACAGATGTCATTTGGTTAAAAGAGAGAGATAAAATTTCCATTGTTGATATATTCAACAGCGCCGTATAAGGGAGTTCCTTGAACGCATTCGAACTCAATTTCAATTCTTTGAAAACATTCAAATTGAGAAAAATTCCATGCGGAAGTTCGTCGATAAAATTGTGACTCAGATCGATTTTAAGAAGGTTTTTATTCTTCCAAAATATTTCTTTGGGGAGTTTTACCACCTCACAACCCTCCAATTGTATCACTTGCAACGAGGGTAAACCATTTAGCGCATTTGCAAACAAATCACTGAAATTATTATTCGACACTTTTAGAACCCTCAATCCGGGAATGTCCAAATGATTCAAATCGCGTGAAGTCAATTCATTCGAATTTAAATTTAATTCGTTCAGGTTATTGAGACCGCGAAATGCCCCTTGTTCAATTTCACTAATCGAGCAATTCATTAAATTTAAAACACGTATCGGTAGCCCTTCCTGAAAAATATCATCATGCAGTTGAGTCAAGTGGTTGAAGGAGAGGTCCAAAATTCGCAATTTTTTCAAATTCGTCAAAGCCCGGGATTCGATCATTGCGATGTTATTGTGGGCTAAAAACAGTTCTTCTAGTTCGTGCAACTCGGCAAAAGTCCGTGTTGTGATTTCCTTCAGTTGGTTTAACCCCAAATCGAGGAATTTCAACGCTTGCATCGGCTCGAATGCGTGGTCCTCGATGAAAGCGATGCTGTTGTTCGTCAAATACACTCTTTGTATTAGTAGAAGGTCTCGGAATAGGGCACTGTCTAATCTCTTGAGTCTATTGTGTCCCAGCCACATAATCTGGACGCTGGATTGGCCCCTTAACGAGTCGTTATGCAACCTCGTGATGCTATTCGAGTCTAGCTGGATCGAGACCAGCGACGGCGACTCGTGCATGAACACGTCTCCCAGCTCCGAAATAACATTCCCTTGTAAATTAACATGTTGTAGACTTTGGAGTGTGCGGAAAGCCCCCGAGTCGATCGTCGCGATCTCGTTGTTTTGCAAATGCAACTCTAACAAAGAGGGGAGGGGATCAAACACACCGCGGTGTACACTCTGGAGGCGGTTGTTGTGCAAGCGAATTTCCCTCAAGCTGATTGTTTTATCGAAAGTTCCCGGTTCCAAGTCCGATATCCAGTTTGAGTCAAGACTCAAAGATGTGAGATTGTGGTTTTGGTGAAACAAATCGCGAGGAATGTGTGGCACAAAGTTCGAACTTAAATGCAACTGAGCGAGGTTTTGGAGAGTGGAAAGAGACTCAGGATCGATGCGACGAATTGCGTTCTGTTGTAGATAAATCACTGATAAATTTGACGAATCGGTGAATGCGTCTGAAGGGATTTCCAAGATGTTGTTTTCCGACAGGAAGAGTTCCTTCAAGTCGGGAAGAAACGCAAAAACGCCACTTATATAATGGACGTGGTTGTGGCTCAAGTCGATCGAACGCAGTTTTTTGTTCGTTTGGAAAGTGGAAGAGTCCAAGAAAACGATTTTGTTGTGACTCAAATCCAGAGATTCTAATTTGGTTAAAGACACGAAAGTGTCAGGATGCACTGATTCTATCACGTTGTAATAAAGAGACAAAGTTTGGACGGAAGGACATGGTCGGAAACAATCCTCGCCCAACTTTTCAAAATTATTAGAACTCAAATCTAAAAACTGCAACGACTCTAGTCTCGAATAACCATCATTTGGGATAAAACTAATCTCATTCCAGGACAACCTCAATAGTTTCAACCTCTCCAATCTCCGAAACGAAGTCATAGGAAAACTGACCAACTTATTTTCCGCCAAATCCAGCTCACTTAACGTATCCTCAAGTCCCGCAAACCCATATTCTGACACTTTCCCAATTTGGTTCCCTTTCAAATTCAACTTGACCAACCTCAACCCATAGAAACTATAACTCGGTAAGTCGCTTATTTCATTCGACTCCAAATCAAGCGCGATTAATTTCACCAACCCCCCGAACGCCTTTTGGGGGATTTCCCCCAATTTCCCCGAGACTAGACTCAAACTCTCCAGTTCGGGTTTGATAGTTGTCAGACAATCATCCTGGATTTCCACCAAGTTGCTCTGTGAGATTTGTAAATGTTTGATGATTGAACCTTCTGGGAAAAAGTCGGATGAGAGTTTGGTGACGGTGCGATCCAGATCGTAGATGCTGAGCGACTGGATGGGTCCAGAGACGATCTGGACAACCGCTCGGAGGGAGTTGGCAGTGGCAGCGGGACATTCCAGAAAAATCCCATCTTCGAAATTGAAGCAAGGACAAGAGGGGTTCAGGGCGAGGCTAGGGCATTTGTTGTCTTGGGCAAGAGCGAGGCCCACCACGGCGGCCAGAATCAGTAGGGCGCCATTGCGCGCCATCATGTGCCCTTCTTGCGAGCCATGCTGCCGATGCAACGGGCCTGGAAAAATTCTTGTATTAAAAAAATAACTAGATGATATACCGCAGAAAGTGTGAAACCAATTTTTTTTTAACTAATTGATGAATGATACCACAGGATGCGCCAGAACTCGCGCCCCAGAGAAAAATGCCATGTAAGGTAAGATACCAGGAACACGAAATAAATGTGAGTTTAAATTTTGCACTTTGACTCTATTTATTTCTGTTGGAAAAATAATTTTTCAAGTTTTTTTGGTACAGACTACTAGAAAAGGAAACAAGGAAGCTGTATCCTCTGTTTAATGTTATTTGTGGCTTTTATTGGCAAAATGTTTGTACCTTTTCTAAATAATTATAAAAAAACATATACAAAATCATCATATCATTAAATAAAAAATTAAAATTTTTTAAACATTTTTCCATGTTCCTAGTATCTTATCTTACTTAAGATTTTTCTCTGGGGCGCGAGTTCTGACAGCCTGTATATGTAGGTATATTAAAAAATTGTGAAGTTTTATAAAAAAAAAATTAATTTTTATTTCTTTTTAAATCGCAATCTACAAGAAAACCTTCTTTTTACAAAAAGCCTAGAATAGAAGGATTACAAATATTTACATTGTTGCCATTTTGAAAAAAAATTAGCTCAAAAACAAAACAAAATTTCATTCTTAAAACACAATTTTTATAACACTTTAATTTTTATTAAAGTTGCCTTTCTCAAGGCAAATGATTTGAAAAACGCTTGTTTTCATACTTTTTGCTCATTTTATTTAATTATAAAGAAAAGTATGCTAAAATTGTATTAGAAAAATAGGTTTCTATTTTTTTCGGAAAATTTTTACGTCTACAAATAGATCGAAAACACAATATCTTTTACAGGCATTGCAAATACGTGTACAAGAGCGTTTAACTATTTTCTACGTCTTCAAAACAGTTTTTATTTAGGTAAATATGGAAGTGAGTGGAAATAAATGAAAATTCGAAATTACAAAACATAACTTCATCAAAATATACATGTTTATTTAACAGGAATTTTGAAAAATTTACTTCTTTGTTGGTAAATGTAGCGCTTAGTTTACTGCAGAGGCCAGTTTAAAAATAGTTTAAAAAAAATTATAATGACCTTTCTCTACTTCACTAAATAAAGTTCTTAACTATACAAACGAAACAAATTCATTCAATGAAATATATTTATCAAATATTTTTTTTCTAAAATATTCAAATTCATGTATAAAACTAGTAAACTCAAAATCTTAGGGAACAATGTTTTAAAATAGGTGAGAAATAAAATTTAAAACAGTCATTGGAAAGGTTTTATTTGTTATTTTCCTTTACATTTACCTATTTGTGACAAATATTGCAATTGTAATTTTTAGATTCCCGTTGTACATTTATATTGCACAAACAAGTACTTTGTCATTTTATTAATAATGTTGTTTTCATGGTAAACTAAATTTATTTTGCTTTAGATTTTATGTAATTTAATTCCGTAATAGATCTACATTAATTTTAATGCAGTTGTATTAAATAATAAAAATTTGCGTTGAGCTGAGGATGGTAAGTACTCAGTATATTCCAACGATAAACAGAGTTAATGCACCCTTTCAGTGATAATACGGAAGTGGAAGACAGCTCGTCAAACCTAAGCCCTTCTAATTTTAGATCAGACGATCTTCGACACTTTGCTTTTAAACTAGAACAGATTAGTGGAGTGTCATTGCAGCGAGTTACACTTTAAGCCGTGTCGTCAAACATTCTCTCAAGCGTAAATCAGAAAATAGGAAAATAATTTTGCAAATAGTCCACATTTGTACGAAGGTAATTCGTTTAAAACCAATTTCATTCGGATGCGGTGGTTGTTTACATGCCGTAATCCTTCACGGTTTAACGAAGTAGAGATTAAATTTAGATTGCTCGAAAATTGCTAATTAACACTAAATATTGATTTGGTGGAATTGAGCGCTCATTTCAGCGGCACTAAATCGGAATGAAAAAGTTTGTTTTTCTCGTGACAATTTAAAATTTCGGTTCATTTCCGTATAAATTTTCACGTTTTATGGAATTCAATTTGGCCGCCTTCCAAACAAGTCAAAGATTTGTTTCATCTCTCGTCTAATTCCTCTATTATTTGTCCCGAGTTAGCGAAATTGAGTCGTTTCAATATCGGTCACCGGAGCGAGTAAAAAATTTAAATGATCCTTGAGAAATGGCAGCTTTTATGACAATCTCTCGGGATATTGGCCGTAAGTCAAGATTTTGTCAGTGAAAGAAGAATATTGCGCAGCGTTTAGGTTTATTTATGCGATTGAAAAGAATTATGTTGCATAAATACATCTCATTTATGGTTGATATAAAAACGACAACTGCGACGTTTATCTTCGACGGTTCTTTAATGAGACAGATTTATTGACGTCCGGCCGCTCATAATCGCACTCACTGTTTTGTAATTGAAGCGAAGCGACTCCGTAAGCCGGACTAAATTAATTTACCAAAACATAAAGTATTATACATTATCCCTGAAATTAATCAGACCGGGACTGTAGGGTTAAGCTGGACGCTAGGTCACTTAGGTACAGCTACACGATATGAATGCTGAATGGGATCAGCGTAAATAACTGAACAAAATTATATATCGACACGATTAACCGCAGCTGCTACGGACGCCAGTCGAGACGATTTAATTAACTTGCCTCCGACACCCCAAGCCATTAAAAAAATTGATACTTGCAATAGCCAGAAATCCAAAGCGGTCTTTAGTTGGAGAAACAACAAGGAAAGTACATTTTGTTCCAGATTTCCCATTTTTGACTATTTTCAATTCTTCTGTTATTTTTATTTCTTATAAAATAGCTTTGTGAGCATAAATCCCAAGTCTCAGTCTTACAACTGTCTTATGTTTGAAAGGCCGTTAACTCTGGAATTAGATGTGCAAATTTTTGAAATTATTTGTAAATTACTAAAATTTTTCTGAAATTACAGAATTTGTTTTTGGAGTTATCGAGACTATTTCTGTCACAAAATTTGAGCCAATCAAATCTTTAAAATTTCTGAGAATCATCCAATCAGATTCAAATTACCCAATAATTCAGCACGTGTGCAATTGCCCGTGTTCTAAATTACCCCGAATCTAATTAGATGAATTTAAAAAATTTAAAATATTTTCAAACAAAAAAATTGTTTTTGTAAATTTTGTTTTACAAATACCCCTTAATTTGACAATTTGGAATAAACTCGGGGTATTAACTTTTATTTTTTTTTCCAAAATTACGTTGATTGCTTAGAACTATCGTAATTACAGTAGAACTCCTCTATAACGACTCTCGGTTATACAGAAAAATCAGCTGTAACGAGTAAATCGTCTGGTCCCTTGCCGTTTTGTATACGACCTACTCTATATATAATTCGCCCTCTATAGCAAGTATTTTTCTGGAATTGAGGTGAATATAGCGAAACTTTTATTTTGTCCACCTCGTGGATGATAAACCATTCCGTTAACCGTGGTATAAAAATCCACTCGGTGAAATAAAGCGTCCGATTTACATTCAAACTTGTAGAACTATTAAACTTCTTTAATATTCGTATTTAATAAATAAATTGCATAGTACATGTGTAAAAACTTTTATTATCCATGACTGTTTATAGCGAAAATCGGTTATAACGAGCATTGTACGTTGGCCCTTTGAGTTGAAAGGGGTTCTACTGAAATTACTTTTGAAATTACGAAAATTAAGTTGGAATTACAAGAATTATTTCTAAATTACTAGAATTTTTCTGCAATTACTGGATTTCTTTTCAAAATTACATTGGACTTCTTAAATATATTGGAATTAAGTTGCGATTACAGAAATCAGAATAATAAATGGGCTTTAGTTAAAAAAAAGACAATGTAAGGAGGCAAAGAAATTGAATTATTTCTAAATTCCTACTAGAATTTTTCTGAAATTACTGAATTTCTTGTCAAAATTACGTTGAATTTCCTAGAACTATTAGGTAGTAATAAATTGAAATTACATAATAAATAATAACAAATGTACAAATGGTCTTTACTGAGAAAAAAAATAAAAGAAGACAAATGTAAGGAAGCGAAAAAAATAAATTGAAATTACAAGAATTAATTTGGGACTATAAAAATTAGTTTGAATTATGTGTATTACTGAAATTTCAGTAAAACTTTTTTGGAATCACTAGAATTTTAGTAGAATTTTTTTGGAATAGGAATAAGTTGACTCATTTTTTCAAGTTAACGGCCCCTCGATATTTCAACAGTAATTCGCAGTTTTTTTTTCAATTTTCAAATTTCAAAAAAATTGCTAGAAAACTGTTATTTCTATAACTTTTTTTTACTCAGAAATATAGTAACAATAACAGTTATTCATGTAGTATCAAAGGAATAAACAACTATTTCAATCTTGTGAATGAGAGTAATTTTCATTTGAGAGATTATGTTTATTCCAGAGATGCATACAAAACTTTCCACCTAACAGACTAAATTAATAATAACATAAAAAAGATAATAAATTTGTCAATTAATGTCAAATAATTTGGAAAAATTTGTCTTTCAATTTTTTTTCCACCTAACAGACTAAATTAATAATAACATAAAAAAGATAATAAATTTGTCAATGAATGTCAAATAATTTGGAAAAATTTGTCTTTCAATTGTAATTTTAAGAGTAAAAACAAGATAATAAAGCCTTACTTTATGTCCTGTTGAGAAGAAAATGACTTTCATAACTTTTCAATAATTTTCTTTATAAAAAATTTACGAAACACATTTTATATATTTTTTAAAATAAAATTTTAAACAAATTTAAACACTCTTATTGAAACAAATTGTATGTATAAATATTATTATAATTTTTAATTAAATTTGGTTCAATCAATTAATTTTAGTTTTATCACATGGCCATGTTTTCTATACACGTTTATTCAAACATTGCGTAAAGTGGTCACAATTATTGTTTACTATTTGCTCCGACACACTCTAACATTTAAAAAGTATTCAAAATTTTGTTTTTTTCAATTGCATTAAATAAAAAATAAACCAATTTATTTACGACACAAACTGCGTTTTTTAGTTAAAAATTAACATGATCTGATTTTGGATTTTTTACTTAACTTTTAAATTCAATATGTTTAGGTTTTTATTGTCCTCCCCTGTTTAACGTTTACATTTTTATTTATAAATATTTATACAGTTACATTAGTAAAACCTATTTTATTTTTTATTCGGTGTTCTATATTAAAATTATTATAAATAAAAAATATATAAATTATTATTATTTTTGTTAATATATTGATTTCAAATTCTTTTAATATTTTCACCCAAATATTCAATAGTAATTGTTAGAAAGGCGTACTTATAATATGTATAATAAAACTAGAAAAAAAATAAGAAAATGAATCAATTTTATTTGACATGTTTGTAAAATAAGGTGTGTTGTCTCTAGACATGCCCTCTGGCATCTCAACACAATAGGATAAGTGGATAAAGCAAAATAAAAGTACACAAGATTTAGATGTAAACTTTAGTGTAGAAAATCTCGGTTAAAAATGGGCTTCCCCGTGGCCGGCATGTGACCAGAGAATTGCTTTGTGGTAATATTTCGCCTTGTTTATGGACTGCGCTTTTATCTCTTCTCCTCCTTGCAGTAAATAATTTATATCCCGAGATAACATATAGGTTACATAGATCCTGGCACTTACATCGAAAACAATTTACGTTGGAAATGCAAGCAAGTTTGTGTTCATTGTGGAAAATATCGTCGATCAATAAATGTCCTGTTTTTAAAAAACCGTTTTTCACGCACACGCAAACTCAGAATTTGTACACAAGTCGCCGGTGTATAAACATGTGACAATTCAGATTTCGATTCTAATTTCGTCTCGACAAGATTACTCCACGATAATAGAATTTTTTAAGAGGATATTCCACAGACACGACGCATCTCCTTTCAAAATAAAAACTCCGATTGCACTTCAACCCTTGCAAGAAATTTAGTTTAATATTCATAGCGCGCTGAACTTGTATGTTGACTGAAATTCAAGTTTCAAGTAATTAATCTCGAGGGATTTTTATTTTAAAATTACTGTGATTGTTTTGTTTATAAACACTTGAAACAATTGAAAATTTCATTTCTTCTTCCAACTTCCTAAATGACTTTAATGTAAACAGTTATTTTGGAGGAAGGATAATTATGTGATGCTTGAAAACATTATTTGCTGAAACGAAAGCTTTCGCTGAATTTAGGAAACCGGAAAAGTGGTAACGAAATTACAACCAATTTAAAACAAATTCCGAGTATGTAAAAATAAGCAAAATAAATAAAATGTGACTTGAGTCATTTTTTGCGACATTCTCTTTTTTCGATCTAAGTTTCCAATTTTGGTAAAAACTAAATACATATCACAAAAGACAAAAAATGCCTTCAATTTTAAAACAGTTTCATGTTTCCAAATTCTATCAATGCTCCGGAGCCCAATCTAATAAATTACCGGAAAGCTCCAGGTGGCAGTACGAGATTAGTTTAATTCCGGATTTTATTAGCAAAATTGTAAATTCGTCAAGAATTTCACTCATGTCATTGCCAACTTTTCCTTTGATCGATTATTATCGAAAGGGAAACTTTCTCCCTCATGCCCCATTAGTTCGAAATATTTCACTGATAAATTATTTATCAGAAAAAAACAATACCAGTTTAGCTGTGCTAAGCTCTAGACCACACCTGTCTCCAAACTGTTTGGTATGCATTCTGGAGCGGATTTTTTTATTTCAGCATACTTTTTATTACGTCAGGTTCCGGATTCACTGAGGGTTACGTGTTTGATTTAAATGAAGTGCTGCAACCCCAACAAATCGCTGACACTCTCAACCAGACTAATGATGCCGACAACACGTGGCGGATTTCCGGGTTTACAAACAGATGCGATCAAACTCGGCTAAAATATTCGCATCTGAGCCATTTTTTAGCAACCTAGTCAATGAAAATTTTAAAATTGCTCATCAATCACCAACATTCCAACGAAAACATGCTTCTGTTACTTAATTATTAATTAATGTTAGAAAAACTAGCAATTAGGAACATATTTTGCATTTTTAAAATATAGAGTTTAATTGGCCATATTTTTTTGCAATTTGAAGGTTATGTCACAAGACGTTGCCATAGTAACGACAGTCTTTGCGCAGACGCAGTTAAGCGTTTCCATAGAAACAACCAACAATAGCCGCCTATTTTGTGACTTT